CCGGGTTGACTAATTACTAATTTTGGAGGCGGTGGTGGTGGTGGTGGTTTGATTTGTTATATTTAGAAGATATTTAGAAACCGTGAGAATTTTAACAAGATACCTCGTACACGTGCAGCGCTGCTGTGGTCCAATTGCTTTAAAATTGTTTGGACATATTTCGAAGCGGTAACTATGGGAAAACTAGATGCGAATTTTCAAATATATGAAACTGCCTTTAGGACAGTGGTTCTCGAACTTTAGTCATCCAAGCATCATTTTCCCCATTTTTGCCACATCGTGGAGCCCGCTTACCCTTAGCCATTTAATATTTTCCTCAAATTGTCCCGTTTTATTTAGTCTTTTATGTCAAAGGAACTATATCAATTATTTAAATGCACTGGAGACAAAGTAAATGTAAAAATAAGTACAATAAAAACGAGACCTTATTTGATTTGCACTAAGTACCGTTGTAGAGGAAAGCTCTGAGCTTACTCTTTGTTAAAAGAACTTTGTGAAAACAAAAGAGAGATTAACAGACTTTGGAGAGAAGTGACGACATCACATGAGAATTTGCTGGAATGGCACTGGTCCATAGCACTTACTGTTAGGGGTAATTATTAGTGGAACATCTGTTCAACCCCCTGAATTCCTTCCTTAAGTCGCCTTTATGCCCATTCACTCATTTTCCATCGCCGAACTCTCTTATTTCAGAGACCTCTACTACTGCTCATATTGGCTCCCAAACCAATATTTTTAGATCCTTCCTTCTTCCTGAACCCCATTCCCACATTCCCAAAACTCTGCTGGCTATCTTTCCACTTCCCATAGGTATCTCAAATTCAACTCATATGAAATAGAATTCATTGTCTCTCTTCCTGTCCCGAATGTGTTCTTTTTCTTTTTCTTTTTCTTTTTTTTTTGCCTTTTTATAGCTGTTACGTGGGCAGAATCCCAGACCCTGTGCTAAGTTTTCATGGATTATTGCGTTTCATCTTCACGACAATTCTATGTGCTGTTATTTTTCTTATTTTATATGTAAAGACATGGAGGATCGGAGGGGCTAATTAACTTGCCCAAGAGCATCTGGGTTGGAAGAGGTGATTCTGGGACTCGAATTCAAGTCTATCCCGCTCAAAATCCACTTTCCTCATCCCTGGGCCACACTGTCTTCATGACCGGCAGGACTTTTCATGCAGCCCCCCCAAATTAAACACGTCAGTTTTCTCGATTCCTCCCACTTCAACATCTCTGCGTTTCATCATTCGACCTGCCAGTTCTGCCTTGAAAACAATTCCTGACATCTCTTCCTTACTCACTGTTTCTGGGCCACTTTCCTTGCCTGTTGGTTTTAACGCCTCTGAGCTCCCACTAGGTACCGCCCCTCCAATGATCACTCCGTGTTACCATAAAGGTAATCTCTGAAAGTCCAAATCTGATTGTGTCATTGCCCCACCCAACAGCCTTCTGAAAGATCCTCATTTGATTAGGTAAAATCCAAACTCCTCAACACAATCCAGAAGGTTCTTCAAACACCTTCAGTTTGTCTTCCCAGACCGCCCCCCACCCCTTCCCAACCCCAAGCTCCTGTCTCCTTCTCTTCTCTTTGTCCTGTTTATACATCCCAGTTATTGTGGGGAACTAGGGTGCACTCAATTAATCATTCGTTTATGTCAGGAATTGTGTCTCATTTAACGAGCACTTACTCTGTTTATTTTTTAAAAATTAATGTAGTATTACACACAGAAAATATACTGGTGAAATTTTAACCATATTTTGTGTCATTGTCGATTTCCTGCTTTTGATCGTGTACTAGATGTGGTTGAGTGGATGGCTGAGTAAATTTTTACCAGGGAGGAAAGTTGGATAAAGGGTAAACCGACCCTCTCTGCACTATTTTTTGCAACTTCTCATGAATCTATGATTATAACACATTTAAAAGTTTAAAAAAATTTAATATAGTATTTGAATTTTCTGCCCAGGAAGTAGGTTGAGAAAAATAGTAGACATGTAAGTACTATATCTTTAAATTATTATATTATTATATCACATGACTCCTCTCGCTTGCTGCTTGAGCCTGGGCTGAGGTATATGCCGGATTTCATCTTGGAAAGAAGAGTAAAGCCTCTAGACAGACCGAGGCTGAATTCTAACTCTGCTGTGTATAAACTAAATGAACTTTGGCAAGTCACCCTGAACCTCAGTCATCATAAAAAGTAAATAAGATAATACGACCTACTTCCTAGGGATCTTTGGGATAGCTAAACAAGATAATGCACGTAAACAAGGTGATTTACTTAATCAAGACAGAATGCAAAGTACTTAGCATATAATAAGCACCTTTGACTTCTTCTCAACCTTCATCAGCAAAGCCTCGTGGCTCAACAATTTCTCACCTCTTAGTTCAAGCTACCATGATCTCCCACCTGATTCAACTCCAGCAGCCTCTTAACTGATCTCCTTGCTTCTACCCCCAATACCTACCTTACATCTAATCTGAACACAGCAGCCAAAGACATAAAAGTTGAGTCACGTTATTCCTCTGCTCCAAGTTCTCCTATAGTTTCTCCTCTCACTGAGAGCAGATGGCAAAGTCTTTAAAATGGCCTCACAGGACTCCCTGTCCTTCTCACTTGTTCTCACCCATACGCACCTCTGAGATCCTGTTTTCTCCTCTCCCATCATGCACCTAGCCCTGGGCAGGCTCCCAGTCCAGGCCCTTTGCCCTTGTATTTCCTGGGCCTGGACTGTTCCTCCCCCAGATGCTTCGCTGCCACTTTCAAGTCAATGCTCAAAAGTCACTCTCAGTGAGGGCTTCCTAATCACCCTACTTAAACTTTCAATCCCCATCACCTCCTCAATCGTTCTCCTCACCACTTACCACTTTCTAATGTGCTATATAATTTATTCTGTCTCCTCTGACAGAAAAGCGAGTTCCATGAGAACAGTGATTTTGTCTGTTTTGTTCACCACTGTGTCCCAGAATAGTGCCTGGCACACAGTTGGCCCTCAATAAAATCTTCCAAGTGAATGAATAAATGAATGAATTCCAGCAGATGAGCAAAATGACCAAAGCCACAGAAGCGTGGAAGAGCATGGTCCATTTGGGAAACTGAGAGCAGCCCATCGGGATGACCGGAGTCGAATGCATGTATGGGAGGGACCTGGTCTCTCTCCTTCCCTTTGCAGGAGACATCTCGAAGAGTCCTCCGTACCCCATGACTTCGTTTCTTTACCTCTCACACTCTCCTTGCCCTATTTCTAGTTCTCTTCTGCCTCTTTCACTCCATCGGCAACGACCTCCAGGTCAGGGACTCCAGCGGTCATCGTGTTGAAGCCCAGGGTATGATCTGCCGCTGTCGATTGCTCCCTCCCTCTCAAACCGCTATTTCCCTTTCATGACGCCACACTCTCTTGGTGTTCTGCTCAGCCTTCTAGATGCCTCCTCTCTATCCCTTTGCAGGCTCGTCCTGTCCTATTCACCCGATCATGGTTTGAGTTTGCGAATTTCCATTCTAGGTTCTCCCTTTGCCGACTCTACCCTCTTCCAGATGTATCTCATGTACTCTGTGGCCTCAGTGACCACCTAGACTGAAATGGCTTACAGATGTATCGCTTTAGCTCAGGCTGCCCCTCCAAGGTCCGGGTCAACTTGCACCTTTGATGTCCCACAGGACCTTAAACTCAACGTGTTCCCAATCACGCTTGTGTTCTTTCCACACCCAGCGAACCTACTCGCGAGACTCCGGACTCTAGCCTCTTTTGTCTCTTTAGCTCAGAACGCTCTCACCTCCTCTCTTTGCTCAGAAAAGGTCCGCTCATTCTCTAGAACTCAGCTCAATTGCCAACATCCACAGGGACACCTTCCCTGAGCTTCTGAGTAGGTTGTATCTCCCCTTACATCATATACCTTTTCTTCATGGCACTTACCACGATTATTGCTTTGTATCTGTTTGTGCAATTATTTAGCAAATGCCTGAACCTCACCCCCTGCTGCAGTAAACCAGGGACAGGGGTTATGTTGTTCATAATCACCCCGTATACCCAGACTTAGCACAGTCCCTGGCAGATGGCACGTGCCCAACAAATATCAAATTTTTTTCATTCTAATAATAAAAATAATTATAACTACAAATTATTGAGTATCAAGCATTGACCTATGCTTGACATTCATTGTCCTATTTAATATTAAGATGTGCTTTGAGTTCCCATCACGGTATTTATATACATATACGCACATATCAAATACATACATATTTACCTATAATATATATAATTTATACTATTTAATACATATATGTGATATATCTAATATATACATAGAGCATGTATTTCAATAGGAATATTTCATATATTATTATCATATATTATAATATATAAATATATTATCATTCTATATATACATATTTTGTTTTAAAAATGAGGACATTTAGAGTTAGCAAAGTTAATAACTATCGCAATATGCCCAAAGTAGGACTTGAACCCTGACTCCAGTATCTTTTCTCCACCCATATTCAAAACGGAAAAGATACATTGGAGATGTGCAGATATTTTTCAGGTTTTATCAACTTAAAAATTTACATACTTAAATTAGGCTGTTTTGCATGACATGGAAACATATGTATTTGGATCACATAGTAGTGTGGAGAGAACTTTAGATGAATTTTTAGAATGCGGCCCATCCTCTCTATCAAAATGACTTTCATTTCGTCTAAGGCCATGCCACCCTGAACAAGAGCGATCCCGTCTGATCTCGGAAGCTAAGCAGGGTCGGGCCTGGTTAGTACTTGGATGGGAGACCATCTAGGAAGACCAGGTGCTGTAGGCATAAAAAATAAATTAAAAAATAAGGGATTATAAACCGACAAGGTTCTTGCAATCTGTGAGGTCAACCGAAGGTTGCCTCTCCTAAAAAAAAAAAAATGACCACGTTTCTGGATTTTACATTGGTCCCAGATCAAGTGTTGGTACTGACCACGTGGCAGTGGTATTGCATTATGGGAAGGGAGATGCAAACTCACCGTTTTCACTGCGATGGTGGATGTCCAGCCTGCTGGCCTCGTCCAACCAAATGTCCTCACTTGAGGAAGAGTCAACATCGCCCAAGATACTTCCATGCAGCCAGGATTTCGAGGCACCGAGTTGGAAGAGGGAAGAAAAAGAACGGCGGAGCCTCTTTTTCTTTCTAAATATTCTGGAGAGAAATGAAAGAGGATGGTGACGCATGAATAGCAGTCACCTCAGGTTCAAAACAGTGAATTTAGTGAAAGTGATTCGATGAGCAGAACACAACACTCCAATTCCGTCCGTGAAGCTCATTTTATCTGTTCCCTCTGTTAATTCCACAGAAGCTTCTTAAATTTCTGGGTGTGCCAGATGCTTGGATCAATGTCAAGGATACCGAGATAATAGACAAAACCTTGGATACAGAAAGTTCACACTCTAGTATTAGAGAAAGACAAAAAAGATGCAGCCATAGTTAATGCTTTCATAGAGCTTATTCCGTGCCAGGTGTCTAAGAGGCTTACATATAATAACTCACATTATCCTCAGGACAGCCTTGTGCGGTAGGTACCATTGTTACTCTAGTTTTCAAATCAGGAAACTGAGGCACAAAGAGGTTTAGTAACTTGTCTGAGTTCGTACAGCTAGTAAATGACATAGCTGAGATGCAAACCCAGGCAGTCTGGCTTCATAGTCCCTGCTTGATTACTGGGCTATGAGAGATGAGGGGGGATATGTGCTCTGACAAAATTAACTAGAGGCTGCTAGTTAAGAGTACCCGCCAGGAGGGGCATTGCTAATCCGGAGCCAAGGGAGGCTTTCCGGGGTAGGAACACTCTGAGCGACATAGGATGATCTGACCTGTTCACTGAAGCACACACAAGTGCATCCCACGTTGGCTCATGCTAGGAAGTGAGGCCAGGAAGGTAAAAAGGAGGCCAGTAATAAAGAGCCTGGAATGTTACGTGAAGGGCTTGGGTTTAATGTTAGAACAAAGAGAGAACACTGATGTATGTCGAGGGTGGTGGTGATGCAATTTGGTTTGCGCTTCTAAAAGATTTTAACTACTCACATGTCCACAATCCCAACAATCCACCCTCTGCATTGTAATCAGTTGTTACCTTGCTAAGGAGAAATCTGAGATTTGTCAATGGCTCCTCTTCATCCTCAGAATAAAGCCCAAACTCCTTAGGCTGGAATTCAGCCCCTTCCGTCCACTCCTGGCGTCTGCGCTCAGCCTTCTCTCTTGCAGGGCAGCTCTTTCCACCCTAAGCTGTATTTCCACAACTGCTCGCTATTCTCCAAATTGTATCGGGGTCTCTCAGAACTCTCTCCAGCGCTCCCCTTTCCTGCTTCTATTTTAACCGACATCCTACATCTCTCAAGACTCAAATCCACCATCATCATCATCTCTAGTAAGCTTGTTTCAACCTGTTTGTGCAAGTGAGATCGGCCTCCTTCCTCCCCGCTTCCCCTGCCCTCCATTCAGACTTCATCACCTGCATCACTTCATTACTTTCATCTGTTCTCATGTCAGCTCTTTCTGCCCTATTAGCCTTTGTTTTTCCACAGTCTAGAGCAGCAATGGGCTCCTTATAAATGAATGTTGAATGAACAAACGAATGAATGAATAACTAACAGGTGCATTGGACTTCCGATTCTTTTATATGATATCTTCTACTTACTTAACCAAGTTCTCCTTGTATATAACACTGGTTTGAGATGGGCTCAGGGTTATGTTGCCATCTTTGTCGCAGACAAAACTGTCTTCTGTCCAAACGTAGTAGCCATTGGTGAGGAGTCTGGGACTTCGGCGACAGGGAAAGTGGGAGCCTGTCAGGGCATCTGTGGAGCAGCAGTCAAAGGGACTGTCACCATGCAGGAAGTCACAGGTAAAACTACAGAGGGAATAAGGAAAGTCCTTTAAAGCTCTGTCCAGAACATCTAGTCACACAAAAGCCACATTTCTAGTCACCATGAAGGAAAATTCCTCTGCATTCATGGCTGCCAGTGACTTCTGCAACCCGAAGAATTTCACTCTTGGTCTTCTGGGGTTCATCTCTTTACCCGTGAGAGCATTGGACTCCAGGACGTTCAGTGCTTCCTTCCGTTTTAAACACTTCGATAAAGCCATATGATGCACTTACACCCTTGACATTAATCCTCCAAGTAAGATGCTTTCTTTGCAGCTTTCGTGGATGGAAAAATTGGAAAGCAGTCTCTCTGGGGTATGGGAAGCTCATAGTCTCCTCCACTCCTATTACTCTGAATATCCTTCCAATTTCTATGTCCTCACTCTTGTCACTGTGATAGACAAATTATAACTATGCAGCCACTAGACAGATGTGAGTTATAGAGTGAATATGCAGTTAAAGAGATCTGTTCAGCCTTTGCCAATTTCCCTCTTGGTCAGCCACACGAATGTTCATGCAGTTCTCATCCCTGATTCGGTATCAGGGGTATCTCCTTAGGTAAACCTGTATGTCTTAGGTTTGCAAAACACATGTCTATGTGATTGAAAGGCAACCTCATGCTCTACTAAATTTCCGATAACTTTTTTAAATTTAAAAGTCTACTCACAATTAATATGTGCACTAAAGTTAGTAAAGTGCTACTCTGAGTGGATGTTATTTAGTATTGAAAACTTACTATGGGGCCTGGCCCATACATCACGCTTTATCTACCTTAGGGAAAGCTCCCTAAAAGCTAAGTATTATTATCTTCATTGTGCGGCAGGAAAAAATAATGAGGTGCAGAAAGGCGAGAGAGAGAGAGAGAGAGAGAGAGAGAGAGAGAGAGAGAGAGAGAAGAAGAAGGAAATAAGACTTCAATGCAGAAATTGAACAAAATGGTAAAACTACGCATTTTAGTGGAGAATGAAATTTGGCCAGCTTGTGCATTGGTGTAGAATCTGGTTTCTCTTGTAAGGTGAAATAATAAAAGCATATTTAAGAGAACATAAATTCGAGAGAAAATAACCATATACCAGTATTCATTAGTTTCTCCACTCATCAATTAAACAACTCACATTTGCCTACATGTTCACACCGCCCACCCCACTCCCCCTCCAAAAAAATCCATTATTAGCTTAGGTGAGTTTTCATTTTGTATGTGCATGGGACGGAAAATATACACCCATACCCAAACTGGTTGATACCTAAAACTAATATTTTTTAAACAGGAATACAACAAAATAACGCATACAGGAAGAGAATTTGACTGCTTGTTCTTGTCAAAAGCCCCATGGAATACCTTGGAAAAACGCATGTGGAAGACAGCTCTCCAGCATATTCTCTCTCGGGCTTGGAAGACCCTGCATGAGCAAATGAGAGAGAAGTACAACTTTGTCACAGCTCGCCAACACGCATGATTGCAAACAGCGGAGGCTGTCAAGAAGGTGTGAATAGCTGATGCCCCAGCCTCAGGAGAGACTCTAACTGATGCAGCCATCAGTATTAATGCAACTTGTCACCAGGCCTCGCTGGGCAGCCAGAAATGATCTAGGAGCTTCTACCTTCTGGTTCTTCTCCTCAGCACTCCTTTAGAGGTCCCTTAGTGCAGGATGAGGCAATAATAAATCATTAGCATCAAACCGACTCATGAAAAGGAGGAAGAAAACATCTTGTGTGAAGCTATAGAAAACTGAAATCAATTACCCAATGTGCTGGTTATTTTAGCTTACTCAGTAATTTGAGGAATTCAGTCATCTCCCCGGAATCTCTCTCATTAGTGCATTTTAAGGCACTCCTATGGTACAATAATGAACAAAAGGCAATAGTGGAGGGAAAAAAAAGTAGTTTTGTTTTATATAAATGATTTCCTAACGTATGAAGCCTGTGAGTATTCTTAATTTTTTTAAAGCATTCATTCATTCATTGTAGTTTAACCATAGGCTTGGCAACAGACTTCAATCAGGGAAAATTGTGATTGCTTAATATTCTAAACTCTAAAGCAGAATTTTATATCATATAGTAATGGTGTGAATACTTCTACAAGACAGGCTCTGTGAAACTTGATTCCATTACTGACAATTACTATCTAAGCACAGAAAGGAATTTAGACGTTCAGACTGGGCTGGTCGATTTGTAAGAAGAAAATTGTAGGTGTGTGAGGAAGGGTTAGAAGCAGGGTTTGGGGAGGCAATGACAAGAGGAAGGAAGAAACTTGAAACCACTACCGTTTTAACAACGCCCTTATTTTCTACAAGTAGCTATCAAAATCATTCAGTATTTTTTTTTTTATAGACAAACAGTTTTGCATCTTAATAGTAGCTGGTAAACAATCTCCTTTCACATTTATGCACAGGCATCTAAAAAAAAAATGGTGATTTTTTTTTCCCCCTACTAAAAGGAAAAATACCACATTTCTCTCAAGGAAAGAAATGAAGTCGAAATCATTGCCAAAGTGAACGCTGGCATTTAAGAAGCACAAGCTACTGACAGATGGTTAATGGTGTGAGTATCAGCAAAATCAAAGCAAGGAAATTGCTAAAAGAAGTCTAATCATTCAAAAGATAATTGCGTTCGCCACATTTACTTGCCACTGGTGTTGACATCAGTTGAGATATTCGGTACATCTTGGGAAGGCTGCTTATTCAAACTTCACAGATTTTCTGCAAAAGATGTAAAAAAAAAAGGTGGATTATATATTAAAAATAGAAAAGTGATGCCAAAACAGATGGCATCTACTAATTGCACTACTCAGATTTGTTTACTGAAATAATAAGGAGACATAGGATGGAAAGCAGGAGGCTGGATCGGAGGACCACCGAGGTGGAGTCTGCCTCTCCGATTTTGTGTTACATTTTCCATTGTCTTGCTCAGTGCACCTAAATAATCTTGTTCTGTAAATAAGATCAACATTTTACTTGGGAAAGCTAGACTTGCAATGACTGACTTGTAATGAAAATAAAAATAAATATGAATTATTCGATGAAGGAATCTGAAAAGTGATTGGTTCTAGAGCCCTCTGAATAAACTTATGTATATTTTCATCATCCAGCACACATCAACCTCATTGTCAAGTTTCCAGTGATGCTTGGGGTTAGTGTCTGTCTTTGGTCCAACACCTTGAACCGCTGAAAGGTAGTCACAGGGAGGGTCTTTTGCACTTGCTATCGGCCTGGACATTCATAAGCGGCATAAGCAGCATCGCACTAAAAATAGTACACCACTGGGCAGATTTCAACACTCAGTTCTCATGAACATGTTATTTACCTTCTCAAGTATAAATTAGAAAATTATGTAAACTCTGACCGTTTATCACTCATCACATTGATCTACCTTCTGTTCACTATTTGCAGATATCCCAATTCTAACAGCTTTATAAAATAGGACGAAATGCTTTTCTAATTCACCGCCTCTATCCACATTTTTAAAAAATGCAATAACTAGTAATGAATTGTTTTTTGTAACTGTCATACACAATTTTAAATCAGAATAATTATACAGCTCTAGATTGATTCTTCCAATAAATTATACACGAAACCTGTTAGAAAACATAGATCCTGGCTTATATAGACCTGTGGACAAATCAGGAGAACTTTCTGGCATTCCTTGGAGGATCTCTAAATCAAAGCACACATTCATCAATGTCATTTGCTTAGAATATAAAATAATTTTATTTCACTATAATAGTGCATCGCTTGTCCTTTTGATTTTTGCTCAATATAATATGAATATGTCCAGCCCAAATTACCCTATGTTAGTTTCCCCAAGCATTAGGTTTAATTTTAGGCCACCAGGTTCTGTAGCAGAAGGTAAGATCTTATGGCTAGATCTTAGAAACACTGTCATAGGCTACTCGCAGTACACTAACAGTTAATAGAGTATTAGTATCACTGAAAAAGAATTCAGTTACAGCTCTAAAACTTTTCAAGAAACAGATTCTATCTACCAGTTCCATCAAAGCAACCAATCTGTTTCGAAAAATAATTTGCCCATACTCGTTCTTTCCAAAGGGAATCCCCAGTCTCTTCTTCCAATTGATAGATGACAAAATAGTTACTGAAGTGTGAAGCTTCCTGAGTTTGACAGTCAGCGGAGAAATCCAGGACTTAGTAGTTCTTCAGCTGAAAATAATGTCAGAATGTCAACAGGTGCGGAAGTCCCCTCATAACAGAAAATCCCCCCGTTCTCTCCTGCTAATAGATGCCTGCGTACATTACTGAGTGCAGCAGGAGCTGGCAGAGAAGTTTCATCTTCAGCGGTCCTCTGTTCTTTTGGTTGTTTCCTAGAATAGAAGAGCATGTAGTTCTTGGGAAAGTCAGCCTTAAAACAGCTCTTGTTTCCTTTCAAAAACTGCCTGCGTAACCAGAGGCTGAGAGCAGAATGAGGTCACACTTCCTGTGGGGCTCAGCGTCAGGGGCATTCACGGCTGAGGAGCATGGTGAAGACTCAAGATTGTCTCCTGGACCAGCAGCGGGGGATGTGCATCCCATGAGTCCAGCCAGCTGGACACATCATGGAGGGATGCTTTGCTGAGCTAACTCGCCACCCCTAGCTGCAAGAACATAAGGAAAATCTTCAGAGAAGCAACGCTCACACTTACTGTTTATCATCTTCTGACCATTTTCAACATGAGTAGTGCATAGTAGTGCTTCGTCCAAATCAATTAAATTTCTTGGTGATAATGTGCTGATGCTATTAAATTCAGCATTTTCTTGCATACCAGGAGTTTGATCTTCTGAAAATGTCTGCAATGGCAATATGTTGATCCATCAAACAGTGGGCTTTACAGGACACTCTATGGGTGGCACTTTACATTTTATATTTTAGTAGAGCCGAAAGAACTTGATGTCAGTGGATTCCTATACATTTCTGCTATTGTAAATGATAAAAGAAATATACATTCTAGCAACACTGAGGTGCACTGGATTGTAGAAAGCGTACGGGTTTTGGAGCCACACAGATTGAGATTCAAACTGTCTGCCACACCAGCTGTGTGTCCTTAGATTTGTGACTTAACCTCTTTGAGTTGCAATGCGTTCTGTTATAAATGTAATGACACATATTTCAAAGGATGGCTTGGAGAATTAAATGAGATAAAAGAAATGGGACATAAGTGAGTCCTCAGCTCAGATGTGCAAGAAGCATTCCTTATTTGTTTCCCATAAACCAACTTCTCTTCTGAGAACCCAGTTGGTCAGGCTGTCAGAAAAGTTAATCTCATTCTTTCTTGGGGTTCCCTTTCCCCCTGAGATTATGCCACAGGCAGGGTCCTCTGTAGAACATGCCCCAGGCAGCAGAAGCTGCTAGGAGGAGAGCCTGTCTAGTTTGTGGTAGGCAGCTTTCAAGGATGGACCTCGAGGATCCTTGTGAAATCCTCCCTCCTTGAGGGTGGGCTGAAATTACTTCTGAATAGAATCAGACAAAAAGGATGGCTTTTCACTATCACGATTAGGTCACAAAAGATTGCAGCTTCTGTCTTGCTGGACTCTCTATTACCTTCTTAGTTTATGCACTTTGATGAGGCAAACAGGCATGTCGAAAGGATGTAAAGGTGGTCTCAAATGCCAGTGAGGAACTGAGGCCCTCTGTTCAACAGCCAGAAATCAAGCCGACAGGCGTTTGCGTGAGCTTGAAAGTGGATTCTTCTCCAGGGTAGCCTTGTGACTGCAGTCCCCACTAACGCTTTGACTGCCGCCTGTGAAACATGCAGAGCCGAGGATCTAGTTTAGCACTACCCAGATTCCTGACTGACTGACACTGCGCCATCATAAATGGTGTGTTAAGGCATCAGGTTTTGGGGTAACTTTTTACACGACAGTAGATAACTAATACATAATCATAACAAATGTTATCTTCTGAGCCATCCATTATTGTGGGGTACAAACTTACAGCCTGTGTCTCTCTGCTGCTTTAGCGCCATCCTCAGAATATAGGCACATTTATTCAAGACTACGTATAGTCACATCCGCCTAGATTTACCACATTCTGTCATACAGCCTTTCTGGATGTGTGGTACCCTCTTCCTTGTAATTCATAGCTTTCCACCTTCTCATCCTCTCCTTGTCCTTCCCATTCTTTCTTTTTCTCATCCTCCTCCTTCCAGCCATAGCTACTGTATTCCGAAAGAGGAGGTGAAGATCCTTCTGACTTCTTCAAGACCCTCTGATCTGCCTGTGTCCGCAAATCTCAGCTTACTTTCTGTTCCTAGAATTGGTAAGTGGAGGGGTCCTTTGAAGCCTTGATTTATAGTACTATCTTCGATACCAAGCTTGCACCTCTTTGGCTATACATTCTATCAAAAACAGTCGATAGCTTTTTACCTATTTGATCTCAATCACCTCTCTGTGCCAATATCCATACCTATAATTCTCTTGAAACATACCTATCTCTTTGTTTCTAATTGCTGGCACCTTGAACTTGTCAACCTACCCATTTCTTGGGTATTTGTCATGTGTCGTATGAGTAATTCATGGCCACTGTCTTGGAAGAACTTTCAAACTGTTTGGTTTTATGAGAACTAGATTATGTTAGCAAGATGAGCTGTGATTAAATTGTAAAATCAGAATGCCACTAGGGAGTTATTTGGCCTGTAGGTAATATGGGGGTAGGGATGGGGACTTATATATATAAATATTTGGAGGACATGATATTTCGGTTGCGAGTGATATCCCAAGGAAAGGCAAAGAAATCAGAAAAATGGCAAGCCAGGATAGACAGGGATTTATTTAAACTTTAGTTCCCCTGTGACAATACTGGAGTATCTCATGTTCAGATGATGATAAAAAAAATAAATAAATAAAATAAATAAATAAATAATTTGATTTTAGAATCTACAATTTCTACAGTTAAATTTATTGTAGTACTTTTATTATTTGCCTTTAGATTTGATTTTCTTATCATTGCTGATCTCAAACTTCCTTTGTTGCGAACGTGTCTTTTTAGGATTTATACAGTATTTCTTGAAACTGGAATTCCTGTCTCTCAAAAATGCTCTAGATATAGCCTTACTGTTTGCTCAGGGTTCATATTCAAATTGCAGTGGGGGATAATGTGTGTGTGTGTGTGTGTGTGTGTGTGTGTGTGTGTGAGGGAGAGAGAGAGGGAGACAGAGAGAGAGAGAGACAGAGAGAGAGAGACTGAAAAATGAGAGGTGGGGCAGAGGAGGAGGATCGAGAGAGTGATTATCTAGTGAAAACCCTATAATAAAGTCATAATAAGAGCTTACATTCTTGGTGACAAGAACAGCATCTTATTCTTCTCTGTAATCCCCAGCAGCTCATATAGGGCTTGATACAAAGTATGTTTTTATGGAATCAATAAGGAGCGAAACTGGGACCACCCACAGAGATAACAAAACTTGATACGTGGGGCCCTGTGAAATGTGAGAAAGAAATATTAGGAAACACTTTGTATTTGCATATTAATTATGATATGCAAAACATATAAGGCTCGTTCTATGTAATTTCATCCTCAAAACAATGCTGTGCAGTAGATTTAAAAGTCTCATTTCCATGTGAGGAATGGAGAATCCGAGAAGTGTCTAGTCCCCAAACACTCAGGTAGCCGTGTCAGGTCTAACTTATAACTCCTGGTCTCATTCCAAACCTCTGGCTCGAATATAGTTTCTTAGTTTAAGTTGCTATTAAAAAACGATGGCAAGAAG